AAGAATATACAAAGCAAGTGATGCACAGTGCAATTGCTCACCACCCGCCGACCGATGCCCAGCCAGTCCCCGAGCAGTGGCTCCCCCAGCCAGCTTTCCCCAGTTTATGTACTGAGCATGACGTCACATGGTATGGAATGTCCCTTTGGCCAGTTTGGGTCAGCTGTCCTGGCTGTGCCCCCTCCCAGCTTCTTGCTGGCAGGACATGGGAAGCTGAAAAGTCCTGGACTGGTGTAAGCACTACTTAGCAACAACTAAAACATCGGTGTGTTATCAACATTATTCCATCCTAAATCCAAAACACAGCGCTGTACCAGCTACCAGGGAGAAAATTAACTCTATCCCAGCCGAAACCAGGACATCTGTGTAGCGATCACATATTCAAAATTTTGACTGAACATTCTTTGACACAGTACTAATTTTCTACCTCTTCACATTCATGCAGACGCATACCCTGAGTTTAACAGAATGTTTACACAAAACTCTGTGTTGTGGATTGTCTGCAATGGCTTTAGAGAGAAGCGAAATACTGGAAAATCCCATTTCTAAATAGAAATTAAAGACGAAAGAACAGGTGAGAGGAAAAAGAGGTAGAAAGAAGAAGAAGAGGCCATGGACAAATAATGTTTTTGCCACTGAATCTTTATGATAATCTCTGGTATTTCAGCTTGCAATATATATACACCTTTCACAAACGACAGGAAAGGTGGTGGAGTTTGGAAGGAGCTAGTCTGAGGAAGGTAGGAGAAAGGAGACCGCTCTATTCAAAGGAGTCACTAAAAGAGGAGAGATGAGAACATAAAATAGAACATAGTGAAGGATTGCAATTCTTTATCCTATGTCCACTGGTGCATGCCAGGGTAAATAAAAAATCTACAACGTTCAAACAGCCAGGTAGGCATATAAATCCATACTCTGTGACAGAAACATAAGGAGGAAGGTAATAATTTGTGGCGCAGCCCCAGCATGGAAGGTATCTAGCTGAGAAGACACAGCTGTGTCCACTGAAGTGGATGCCAAACACATTGACTGTTACAGCTAGCGGAAAGAGGCCTTCAAGTGCAGTCAGAGAGACCCAAGTATTGTTTAATGTCAGTCCGAAAAAACTGAAGCTTTCAGACAATGAGTGGCACAGCTGTAAGCTGCCTCGTATTTCTACTGTGGCTGTGGAAATACTGTCTGGATGAGTGTGCCACTGGTAAAATGGCTTATCCTGAATTCTAGCAGGCTAAATCAAGTCCCTGCCATTCTGTTGTTACCTAACTGAGCTACAAATACATAAATAAGGACTATCTTGATGAGCATACCTGTAGCTATGCCTACAATTTTGAAGTCTACCACAAACTTATGCTTGCGTCAGTACTAAGTGTAGAAGATATTCTCCAGATGCAAACCCTTCTTATACCAAAGCCATTTTTAGGCATTCAGAGGGGATGAGCCTAGGAAATTCTGCCTCTAGAATTAGTGCTGCCTGCTGAAATGACATACCCACACGCTGTGTCCCCACATTTTTCCCAGTATTCACTGCACTGTTTATACTGACACGTACACAATTTTTCATGCAGTCCTGCTGCAGATGCTGACTTGG